CACACACACACACACACAATCCAACCCCCCCCCTTTCGTAAACACACACTGCTACACCCAAATATGACACTCCCTGCATACCCACTCCTGATAGATAGATGCATACATAATATCATACTTACTACCTGTAGTTTGTAGCACTATGAGGAACGGTGGTTGCAGCGTTTCCTTGACTCTGCTCCTGTTGTCTCATTCTGTGCTGTCTGACAAAGTAGACACCAAGGGCAATAGCGATCACTCCAACCACGCCCGCACACACTCCCCCGATAGTTCTGTAGTGCTTGAAGCCAGAATCATCTCCTGGAAAACGCACAGTGAGATGAGGGATATATCTTGATGAACAAATTGAAACTTTCGATTTTGGGGAACTTCAGGGTGACAAAAAACAAAACAAAACAAAAAACAAAACAACAACAAGAAAAAAAACCCCCAACAGCTTTACAACTAATAATTTTTTCCTCTACACCAGCGCATTGTGTTTCAAATTTGAACGCACTACTGGATAGCCAAAACGAATTTGTCTAATACTTATTTTAGAGTTCCACAGAACAGTTTTGCCCTGTATAAAGCACACAAAAAATCGCCGATTTTTTTGCCATGTCCCTATTTGTGCAGCATGACGCACCAGTTCGCATTAGGCCTGCCACTAAAAGTCTCAATGATTGCGTCATATTGAAATCTACAGCAAGCTAATACGTCAACAGAAGTTTGCAAATATTTTTTCAAGGTTCCTTTGCCTGTTGAGAGCATTGATAGTTTATTAAAGAGAAAGAGCAGAGGGCTTTTTTGTGTTGAGCATCACCCCGCCTCCAACTCGTCCCCGACAGTTAGTAAGTTTTCCATAGGGTACGGAAAGGAAGCTAAAGTGTCCTCAAGGCCACCTTTGATGTCACGGGTATAGATGTTCCGTCAGTTTGAATCTATAGAGCATCAGAATTAAAAACTCCTTGACCAAAAAAAAAAAAAAATCCACTACAGGACGAATTGCACCGTGCGCACTCCTTTAAATGTCACCAGGATATAAAATTCAGAAGTTGAGTCCCATGAGACGTCTGTCCGCTGACGATGTCTGCTGCTAGGACTTTCCAACACCTCAACGTCTGCTTTCTCAAGGTAGATCTTCACCTATGGCAGCATCATGTTCATGTTCGTGGGGTTGACATGGATCCATATGATGCCAATGTATTTATGGTTCATTGGGCGTCTTGAAAAGCGTGAACTTCATCAATGAATTTTGGTTCAATGACAGAACCCATTTTCACCTTTCAGGATACGTAAACTCCACAAATACTGTCTATTGGGCAGATCATCCACCCCGTATCATACCTAGAAGATACTGTGTAGTGAAAGTGTTACGGTGTGTGCGGTTTTGAGCATTCATGGATTGGCGGGTCCTTATGTTTGGCCAAAGATAGTGAATAACAAGATGGGCCACTCAGCCAAAAAAGTGTCCGCAGGAAGTTCGCTCTTTGCTTCAGATGGCGCTGCAGTCTGTTTTGAAGCTCTCTTTCGTTTTTCCAGAAGAAGAATAGGAATAGCACCTCCTTGCGTGCGCAGATCGACTGCTGTTCATCAGCAGTTCGGGTACGTTCAGTGCGGAGTTTTAGGTTTTTTTAATATTTTAATGACCTCTCGCCTTTCATTCTAAAGTCAAATTAAACGAAGAAAACCATCACCCTTTCCTCCGGAAGAGGTTTTTTGTCAGCGTAACCATTTAAAAAAAGCGTTCTTCCGAAATTTATCCCAAAACTTGCTAGTTTCACTTTGATTTTTTAAAACTCAAGTAGGGTAACTCTGTTCGCAAAGAGTGCGCTTTTGTGAAGAGGGCGCCACCAAATTTTGAGGACACTTTTTTAATCGGCTCAAAGAGAGAAGTGGCCCATCTTGTCATGTACTATCTTTGGTTTGGGCACCGCAAACAGCGCGCCAAAAATGTATGGAATCCAAAGTCTGCATGCAGAGCACTGAATTTAAGAATTCTAGGATAAAAAGATTCGTTTTTTAAAAAACTCTATGAGAAGAGTAAAATTCTTTAAAAAATTAAATGCTAAAAAGAAAAAGAAGAAAAAACTAAGCCAATCGGTTCATGACTTACCTTAAAATATGCTTAATAGATGTGCATTCGCGCTTATGGGTACTTTTGTTTTTAGTTCTTTTTAAAAACATATGTGAGGCAGCGTGGTGGAATCAGGCTCTCGTCAATTTTTGGGCATGTAGAGTTATTGGTATGATCTTAAAGCTTGTTCACTTGTCTTTATTTGGAAGAAAAAAATATCCATTTATCTTGAATACAAGTCGAGATATTTGCGAATGAAGGAGGTGGGGGTCACCTGTTTTTCAGAGGTAAAATTAGTGAGAAAATGACCGCCAAAGATTAGTTATTTCCTTAGCTTAAGAGTCCGTGGTAACTGAAGATTTACATTTTAATGCCTTTAATCAACGCTTTAAAAAATAAATCCACAATCAAATGAGTTCTTTAATGGGCATGAAAGGTGTTGAGCCAAAAAAACTAAAATTTGATTAAAATTCACAAACCTGTGGAAAAATGCAAGTTTCTTCACTTTGATTATTTTGACGAGAGCCTGATTCCTCCACGCTGCCTCACATATTATCTTTAAGAACTTGTGACACCAATGAGAGTATGATTTGGACCCCGTTTTAAGTAGTAAAACATTAAGGTTCATATATAGTAAACAATGAAGGTTCAGATGGGTCCCAACAGTTTCATGACCAATAACATTTCTTAGTTCAGCTCCCTAAACATTAGATTACTAACGCTTTCTTTGCCTATAAAAATTCTAAGTTCAAGTTGAAATCGCTAACCAGCACCAAAACCTCCGTTCCAAATAACACTTTCAAAGTTCAGCTCTGTAAACACTACCAGCGCCTTTTTTACCAATAAAACTTTCGAAGTTCATGTTACTAAACACTACCAACGCCTTCTTTACCAATAAAACTTTCGAAGTTCAGGTTACTAAACACTACCAACGCCTTCTTTACCAATAAAACTTTCGAAGTTCAGGTTACTAAACACTACCAACGCCTTCTTTACCAATAAAACTTTCGAAGTTCAGCTCACTAAACATTACCAACGACAGCATTATCCTTAAAATTTATAAGTTCAACTCACTGAACAATGTTCTCTTTAGCAATAAAACTTTCAAAGTTCAGCTCGTTATACACTATCAAGGCCTTCCTTACCACTAAAACTTTCAAAGTTCAGCTCGTTATACACTATCAACGCCTTCCTTACCACTAAAACTTTCAAAGTTCAGCTCGCTATACACTATCAACGCCTTCCTTACCACTGAAACTTTCTAAGTTCAGCTTACTAAACACTACCAACGACTATATTAACCTTAAAAGTTCAACTCACTTAACACTCCAATGTCTTCTTTAGCAATAAAACCTAATAAGTTCAAACGCTGCTGCACAAACTCGAAACGTGGGCAAACAATAACGGTTTCAAGTTCTCCCCGTCAAAGACGGTTGCAGTACACTTCTGCCGAACAGGCAGAGGTGTGCTGCAGCCAGATTTGACACTATACGGGGAAAGGATTCCCGTCCAGGACCAAGCTCGTTTCCTCGTCGTCATTTTCTACAAAAAACTCACATTCATACCACACATCAGAGACCTTCGTGTGAGGTGCCAGAACGCGTTAAACGCTTTGAAAATTCTATCGATTCCGGAGTCGGGCGGGGACTCAAAACACCTTCTCCACTTGTACATTTCCCTTGTCCGGTCCAGGCTTGACTACGGCTGTCAAGTCTACGGATCGGCAAAACCACACGTCTTAAAAATACTAGATCCAATACAAAACCAAGGACTCCGCCTCGCTCTGGGGGCTTTCCGCACTTCTCCGGTGGAGAGCCTCCAGGCCGCCACTCTCACTCAGACGCACACAACTCTCACTACAATACGCAGTTAAACAGAGCTCAACACCGGAAAATCCAGCGCACAACAGCATTTAAAACAAACCCAGAAACCATAAACAAATTCCAAAACACCGAAAAACTCATCAAACCCTTCGGCCTCAGAATCCTTGTGGACCTCAAGAACTTACACTTTTCCAAACAAGATATCCAACAAATTCTTTTCCCCTACCTCCCTCCGTGGCACCTCACCAAGGCAAAAGTAGACTTACAGCTACCCACACACAACAAAGAAAGCACAAACACCAAAACTTTTAAAGCAGAATACTAAAAACTAATAGATAAATACCCCTGTGTGGAGCTCATCTTCACGGACGGCTCCAAAAAAGACAATGAAGTGGGCGCCGCAGCCCTAACTCCCAACAAAACACACCAGAGGAGACTCCATCCTGAAGCCTCCATTTTCACTGCGGAGGCCACTGCCATTGACATGGCACTGGACTCTGTAGAAAATTCTCCTAACAAATCTTTCCTTATCCTTTCTGACTCTCTGTCTTGCATCACCTCACTCACAAACTATACACACTCTTACACCCAATAATAGTTAGGCTACAACAGAAAATTCATACACTATCCGAAACAGGAAAAAAACATGTTCGCATGGATACCCAGCCATGTGGGCATCCGAGGAAACGAGCAGGTAGACGACCTAGAGAAGAAAGCTTCATCCCTTCTGCTGGGATCAACGACAAACACTCTCCCACAGACTGACTTTAGAAATAATGTCAAAAAGTACACCTCCAGTCTGTGGGAGAGCCTCTGGGAAAACCAGAAAAATAATAAGCTATATGAAATAAAACCCAAACTAGAACAGCGAAATCCTTCGGACCTCTCCAAAAGAGACGAAGTCATTTTTACTCGATTGTGCATCGGACACACGGCCCTGACCCACAAATACCTCCTACAGGGAGGTGAGAAACCGTTCTGTGTCGGATGCGACACAGATTTTACCATTAGACACATCTTAACCGAATGTCTAGACTTTGGAGAGATCCGAAGGAAATATTATAAATGCAAGAAATTGAAAGATATTTTTTCCGTCGTTGTTCCCAGCAGAATTTTGAATTTTATAAAGGCCATCGGCCGTTATGGCAAGTTGTAAAATGACAAATGAAAACGTACTATTAAAAAATGTTATTGTTACTTAAAAGATTTGTTTTAAATCACAAATATATTTACACTGAATTTAAATATTTTAACATTTTAGCATTTTAAAGTCAATTAGTTAACCAATCGTGGAGTGGACTTTTGCGAAAGTAAACAACTTATGTTTCGCGCGCTCATATGACCTTAGCAGTTGCGAGCGCCGTAAAACCCTATACTACATACATACATACAATCTTCGGCACTTTTATTGCCTAATTGTAATGCAACTGCCGTTAAACTCTTTCTTAAAACAAAAATGACATATTTCACAAGGACTCACCACTTTCATCTCCTTTCTCTGATCGATCAACGGCCTGTAGACGGAGCCGAAAGCTTGCTCCGGGCCCAGTGGATTTGGTGTGAAAGACCAGTATAACTAGGTCATCTTCTATTACAAATGGCTTTGCCTCAGAGTCGCTGCACAGTTTGGCAAAGTACACCCTAGGAGTGACTGAAAAGGAAAATCATAAAACAGAATCTTATTTTTTTTTAAAATTGAGATTCTCAAAAACTAAGAGTCCCATTTTTCCAGCAATTGGCACCAGGCGACTCTACAAACAGAAACAATTTCAACTCTGAAAACACTGTAAACTAAAAAAAAAAGAAAAGAAAATTCACTTGTCCGGGAAAAATGTAGTTCTGCAGTACATTTCTAATAATTTTTTAAAGAATTTCTCAATATAATCTATTCCCCCTAGTGCACTGCGAAATGGAACCATTTTAAGAAACATGATCATTCATCAGAGTAAAGAGCAAATACTGTGTTAACAAGGTAAACATTCTCTTCACAGATTGTCAGTCTTCTTTACTTCAAACGTACCATTACACTTGACGTGGTGCTGAGAAGAAAGATATTATGTTCATTGGATTTTTAAAAATTCGCAACTGCACAAGGTCAAATGAGCACGCGGGTCTCAAGTTGAGTGTTTTCACTTTAGTTCACAGCACGGCCTGGTTTTACATTGAAAGGCCCCGCGTCCACTGTGCTTTTTCGTCACTTGCAGGCCAAGCTCACATGCAAATGAGCTTGTTTTTGTCAGTCATTGACTGCCTTTGTCTGACTACGCGATTTTCCTGCATGCACACTTTTTTTTGTCAGTCGTACAGGGGACTGAGAAAGCCTCGATTCGACTCATTTTGGAAGGAAATTTGCATCTTTAAGTACATTTTTGCTTCTTCATTGTACCTTACATGATCAATAAAGTTGTATCTCATTATAATATGTTGTGCAATAGCAGATTTGAGCTGAAAAACAGCATACAAAAAAATGAAATTAAAGCACTTGACCTAGATCTAGATCATTATATCGTTCTCTGGAGAGCTAAAAATAGGCCAGGTTAGACCTAGCTAGGGACGTGTCTAGATCTAATTCTAGATCTAGATATAGATCTAGATATAGATTTCTAGATTGATCTACGTTCACTAATGTTTAGTGCTTCCAATTTTCCGCCAATTTTTAGTTTTCTTCAGACATTATCTGCCGGTCCACTAGATCTAGGCCTAGATTCTAGATCTACATCTCGATATATTGTGTCGCTTTGCCTTTCATGAAACAGTGCATATAAAGCTTAATTTACCCTTCGCTAATGAAAGTTATGGTGGCCGAGCGAACAGCGTGTCTGCGTTTGAAGGCAAACATTATTTTGTTTACGTCCCAGTCCCACTTTTTTTCCCCCCTCTCATCGCCCCAACTTACCAACAATTTTCCCCATAATTATAATTTGTTGCTTTTTAGTTTTTTAAAGTGGTAATTAAATAAATAAATCGCCTGTGCTGTCTGTTGTTCTCGTAATCATAACACAGTGGGCTAAAAATAGGTTTAGCTGTCTGACGTCGGTGGACACGGATCTTTTTGAGTCGGCTCTACACCATGAAAAAACCTCGTACATTAGCATGGCCTGGAAGTGATCTTATTTTGGTGGACGCGTAGGCTTCAGACGGGATTGTTCGAGAAGTTACAAATTCGCGGTAAAAATCAGTAATAAAAACCAGTATCTTACATTATTAATAAAATAAATACTATAATTCTGTTTGGTTCAAAGATGGAGACCAAAATTCTTTTTATTAGTGCATGTTAAATTTTACTTCGAGACTGTTCGAAGTCCAGACACTGTGTTAGGATGCACTCGATCATAATATTAAAGGCATTATGTCCACCGCATTATGCTAAAACGTTTTTGTGACCTCCCCCCCCCCCTCCCCTTGCATGAGCTATTTGTGTGTCAGTGTCAGGGAGGTGTACCCAATACGCAGTTTAGTTGAAATAACTCTCTCTTTTGAGGCGTCCTGAAGGTTTATGCTAAGCCGGATAACCTCAAACAGTATGTTTTACGACATGGTGGAACAATGAGCTGGTTAATTTTGAGGCACATGAAGTTATTGTTTAATAAAGCTGCCTGTTCATTAATGAAAAAACGTATCTATCTTTCTTGAATAGATAGAAAACGAGATATCAGCGACAGGAAGAGGTGGGTTCCGTCTGGTGTCAGAGGTGAAATTAGAGAGAAAATGGCAAATAAGGTTTGATGACTTCCACAGCTTTGGTGTTCTTGGAAACGGCAAATTGTCAAATTTTTTTGGGGTGTGCCTTAAGTAACATTTTTCAGTAAAATCCATTTACAAATTTGATTTCAAGTGGACATTTTTAGTGTTAAAAGAAATATGTTTTGAAATAGAATAATTGGTATTGAAAACAACAACAACAACAAAGAAAACAAAAAAGAAAAGAACACATAAACAAACCAACAAACAAGCAAACAAACAAAAAAATAAAAACCGATGAAAATTGCCCAACGGGCGAAAAAAGTTGATTTCTTTTATTTATTATTTTGACCAGTGTCTGAATTCATCACGATGTCAAATAATATACAAATTATTTTTTGCTTTCTTATTTGATGAAGATAGTAAATCATCCATTTCATACGCTCAATCAAATGACTGATTTTCACGAAACATTCTTCTAAAACGTTAGAAATGCAGCCGAACAACCCGCTGGTATCCAGGCTACTGCTCGATGTAATCAGATAAAACATTTTTTTTTCGCTTCTCCTGTAAAATGTACTCCTCTGGGATTAGCCGGTTCTATAACATTGGCGAGGGTACAACAACTGTATATAAAAAGTTGACACTGGACAGGCTTCATTGTCAGTGAAAAACATTTCTTTTTCAGCAGATGATATTGGCACACGTTCCCACGTTCGGGCAATTTGAACAACTAACTTTTCTTTCAAGGACAAACAGCCGTATTTATTGTGTTTATTGATCTTTCGACATTCCAGACACGATCTCCGTTTTTGAGCAAAAGTGTGCCTTACCATTTTTACTTCTTTTTTTTGGGGGGGGGCTATCTATGCAAGACCCACCCCAGATGCAATTCATTCGTTTATATATATAGATCTATATTTCTTTGAAGTCATTCTTGGGAGAGGGATAAAGTAAAGATATTTTTCAGAAGTTGTTTCATAATATCCCCATATTAATATTATACGTGTTAATTAACATGTCATTCGTCTAAATAATAGCCCCCAACAGCATTGGTATTTGGAAGGTATGCTCTAAAAGCAGCCCCTACAAATACAGTGGAAACCATATATAACAGGCCCGGTAATAACAGGTATCCGGTAATAACAGGGATGTTTAAAATCCCCGTTTTTTCCTACTCTTTGTCTCTATTAAAAGTTATCGGCAATAACAGGGCCTCCTCGGAGCCCAACCGGTTATAGCAGGGACAAAGGCTCGTTAACAATGTGTAAAAGTTAAAAGAGAGAGAAAGAGAGAGAGAGAGAGAGAGAGAGAAAGAGAGAGAGAAAGAGAGAGAGAGAGAGAGAGAGAGAGAGAGAGAGAGAGAGAGAGAGAGAGTAACGCAGTGATGGAGCAAGCCCACTCAAACCATGCCACTACTAACTGCGAGCACACGCAGCGTGTGAAGCGAGAGAGGGCTGCGGTGTGCTGCAGACCTTGATCAGCCCAAAACCTAGCAAGACGCACGCGTAATGTGTCATCAACGATGTTAAGCGCAAGAGAAAATGCCTTTCAATTGACAAAAAATACGAAATAATCCAGGCTGTTAACGAAAAGCAAGCTCCATTGGCAGAGATTTTGTCGTCAGTTCGACATTCCACAAGGGTCGATTCACACCATTGTCAAGGATAGAGAGAAGACAGTGGCAGCATACTCCTCTATAGAAAGTTTTCTCTGGGTCGACAGAAGATGAGACTACCCGATGCAGATGCTGTGGACCAAGCTCTTCTGAATTGGTTGAAGGAGACAAGGAGAAAGTTTGTGTCAAAACCCCTGTTCGTGGGTACTTGTGGCAAAGGAAACTACCCATGAATAAGTACAGCTGGATTAGTCCACAAATGCTTACTTTCCTTGCATTTCTGATTTAACAGGGATCGGATATAACAGGACATTTTCTCTACTCCCACCATCCCTGTTATATCAGGTTTCCACTGTATACTTTGAACTTCAGTAATATGATTTCAAAGGTTCCCTGTTATACTGTGACCTACGTGTACTGGGGAGCCTAGCAGAGTCATCTGTTAGCACTGAATTTGCGGCTGTTACCTTCAGCCCTTCCCCTATTTACAAAATCGTTTCGGTGTAGACTGACCTTGTTGGAACGACAGATAGTTCTCGCATGGGTCTTCCCTTGAACCTCCACCAAGCACAAGGTCTGCAACCTCCACCTTGACTGATTTGCCTTCCGGCGCTTGAAGTCTCCACTTGCACTCGGTGTCGCTGTAACGGAACACAGAAAAATCCTTCAGAGGTAACAGAGAAACAAAGAAAAAGAAAAAAAATATGTGGAGGGTGGTGGGGTGGGGGGAAGGGAGGAGTTAATCTTAGGCCTCTATTTATTTGGTAAGTGTTTTACGGCACTCGAAACTGCATAAGTTCATATGAGCGCGCGGCAGGCACCAGTTTTAGTTGGTAGGAAATTTTGAATTTTGCTCGGGTGACAGACGAAACCTACTCTTTTCGATTTTTGACCATCAAGGGATCTTTAACTTGCGCAACTTGCACTTTGGGCCTCCGAAATTTTTCGCCCTTGTCCGAGAAGGCAAGGTGTAGATCTTTCCTACCAGAAGATCAGGGGTGTGGCTGAAAGACAGCAGTAAGAAGGAGCCAAGGGGTAGAAGTAGAAAGGTGGCAGAAAGAGTCAGGAGCCCAATGGAGGGTGCAAAGAGGTGAGGGGGTGGGGGAAGAAATTGAAGTCGAAAGCAGACGACAGAATACAGCAAAAGAGAAGGAAAAAAAGGGGAAAGGAGACAAATTGAGAGAAGACAATTTTTCGGTCCGTGCCCGGATTCGAACCCGGGACCTTTGAATGAGAGGCAAACGCATTAACCCCTAGGCCACGAGAACCCCCTGTCTTATGCCTCTGACAAAATACCCCGATTTAATTTAGAAGAAAATTATTTCCTTACCGGCACTGTAATCATGCACCCAGAAAATGTGAGTACTCCAGTTCTAAAAAATCAAAATAGTATGTTTATCCAGGTGAAAGTTTCAGTTTGGTAAAAATACGCAAGAATATGTTTTATTCACTGGCACAAAGTTGCAGCTGGATGATTCGGAGGAGCAGGAGAGTGTTGTCTGTTATGTTTGTCTACTACACAGTACAATGAGTTGAGGAGCAACTTCTCCTCCTGTCCTGTCCAAGGCCTTGTAATAATAATAATAATAATAATAATAATAATAATAATAATAATAATAATAATAATAATAATAATAATAATAATAATAATAATAATAATAATAATAATAATAATAATAATAATAATAATAATAGTAATAATAATATAATAACAGTAATTATCATCATCGTTTTATTATTCTTATTATTATGATACTACTACTACTACTACTACTACTACTACTACTACTACTACTACTACTACTACTACTACTACTACTACTACTACTACTACTACTACTACTACTACTACTACTACTACTACTACTACTGATGATGACAGTGATAATAATGATAATAATAATAATAATAATAATAATAATAATAATAATAATAATAATAATAATAATAATAATAATAATGATAATAATAATTATTATAATATTAACAACAATGATAATATTGATAATTGTTATCATTTTTATTATAGTACGCCCCTAATATACAATTGTAATAACGATCACTATAGTAACGATACTTATAATAATTATTGTTCACCTGTCAATGTCTGGCGATGACCAATACATCCACAGAAGAGAATATTTCTCTTGCGAAAGAGAAGAATTAGAAAAATTAAAGGTTAAGATGCCTTGTGGTTTCTGCTGTGGCCGCTGATACCAATTTTGGGAGAGAAAAGTTTGCCACATTTTGAATAATAAAAAGCTCCACTTCCATTTGTGGATGCGCGCAGCTTGCAGGATTCTTTTTTTTTGGTTTCATAATTTTAAAAATAAATTTCATAAAGCCATTCAGAAATGATGTCAGCGTTTACTCTTTAAGGTCATTGTGGTCTCATAAAATATTATGTCCGATCACAGCAGACTAGATATGCTTTTTTGTGGCACATTTCGAATAGTAATACACAAAACAGGAACACGGATGTGCAATTTTGATAATATGCATTTTGTTGCCTGCCTTTTATTGTTTTATGTATTGGAAATGAAACGGAAAACCTGTAGGAATATCGAAGCTGTACATCTGTTTTTAAAGTGCCACAGAACAGTCAGACTCCATGCGCTGTGGAATGACTATTCGTGTTCTCAGTGAGTTAACGATCTGTTTTGTCTTACCGAAGAATACTGGTGCGTTGCTTGGAAATATTCGTCATCTCTGTCGTCTCCAGATGTGTGTGTGTGTGTGTGTGTGTGTGTGTGTGTGTGTGAGAGAGAGAGAGAGAGAGAGAGAGAGAGAGAGAGAGAGAGAGAGAGAGAGTGTGTGTGTGTGTGTGAGTGTGTGTGTTTGTTCAGAGACAGCATAATCGATATCATCTGAAGGCGGGATCTCAGATCTCGTGTCATCAACTTATATTATGCTAACAATGGCCTTAAAAAATCAAAAGTTTTAAATTTTACCACCTGAGTGCAAACGATTGCTGACCTTAAATATACCATATACTTTCACTCAGCTACCAGCTTGCCCCACTCCTCAAACATCCTAACACTAACATCCCCATTGACACCAAAGCCAAGCTCATTAACTCTATCTTCATCCCCACTTTGACCTACCAATGCCAGACATAGACCCTGACCAAGAGTCTGGAACGTAACATAACCACCAGCGAGATGAGATGTCTTTAAAGAAGATCCGTCAACAAAACCAGACAGAACATGATCAGAAACAACAGGATCAGTAAAATGATGGGAACAACACCTGTCATCTACTACATTCGAAGGCAAACAATCATGTGGTTTGGACATCTGACACGCATGGCACCTCACCAGCTTGCCATTAAAGCTTACTAAAACAATAGCAGGGTACAAGGCAAGAGGAAGACCAAGAAAGACCAAGAAAGACCTGGATCGAGGGTGTGAAGTATGCCCTCAAAACATACAACATTCCACCCAGCCAGGCCATCAAACTTGCTAGAGACAAAAAGCTCTTTCTCCTCGACCCCCTGGAGGTACAAGAGAACGGAGAAAAGTAAAATATAGTAAGTACTTTCTGTCTGCCGTTTTAAGCCATGTATTATTTGACACACTGTACTTTCTGACACCCGCGTGTGTGGTGCTGCGTGTAGGGGTGTCTCCATGTGGGAAAACATTCATTTTATTTATTGAGGATCTCCGTCTATCTACTGAGATGATATATCCCTCATAGGCCGGGTTGGCGCAAACAGACATAGCCAAAGTAGTCCACCTTCTGAATGTTCTAAATTGTGTTGATGGGGGAGTAAAACACCCAGTTACACTTTTTTACAAACTGGGTGATTGGCGGGTTCTAAATTGTAATTTGCTGCATTTTTCATATCAATCATCTTTCGTCCGTATCTCTCCCCCTTCTTTTCTCTGTATGCTACTCTCTTGTAACACCTCAATATTCGACACTTGTACTTGTATGTCCATTTCGTGTTGCGAGTGCCGTAAGACGGTAACTGAAATGAAAACTAGATCTGACCCTTTAAAAAGCCTACAAACCATTTCGCCTGTCCTCTGTGAACTTTTCTCACCTTTTGTACAGCTGAGGGTAGTCCACAGAGGTAAAGTCCTGGCCTTCTGTGCCGACGTCCATTGTCATATCAAAGCCATCACATCCCGTAACTGAAAAAGACCATGAGTGCGGGTGGTTGGCGGGTGCTCTGGAGTGGTTTGCTCCTTCTTTGTTATCAAGTATCTATCGTCCTGATCTCTCCTACTTCTTTTTGAGTTTGTTACTCACTTGTGACACAGTTTATCTTTGGCACTTATATGACTTTTTTATCGCGGGGAACGATTGATATAATGGTGCAGAGAAAATACTTTTATGATCTCAAACACCTATTATGAATATCACCCAACAAAACGATACACTTGGAAGAGTCCTGGCGATAGAAGTAGAAATCAAATAGACTTTCTACTTGTTCAGAAACGTTTTAGAAATACAGTGAAATCGTCTAAATCACTGCCAGGAGCAGATTGTTGTAGTGACCATGTACCAGCCATGTGTAAAATGAAGAAACTTAAAAAGACAAAGTACCAACCAAAATTTGACATAGATCTTTTAAAGACAAATCAAGAACTGAAAGAACGTTTCTCTGTAGATCTAAGCAATACATTTCAAGCTCTCGAAAACATCACTGGATCGGATGGACTATGGAGGAAAATGAAAGACTCAATAATGGAAGCGGTGGAAGAAAATGTCCCCCCGAAAGCCTAAAGAGCAAATAAAAAATGGAAGACCCAGGACATATTACAATTAATGGAAGAGAGAAGACAGGCAAAATCAAATGTGGTAAGGTACAACATCTTAAAAAGGGAAATAAAGAAACAAATGTAACGAAGAAAAACAAGAACATGGATAAAGGATCAGTGTCAACAAATAGAGAAGATCCAAAACAAGAACAGCAAATAGATGCATTCCAAAATCAAAAAAGTAAGTGGGATCAAAGGATGATCAAATACAGGATGCATAAGATCACAAGGAGGAAAATATGTTTTAATGGACAACTGGGATGTCTTAAACAGATGATCAGAATACATAGAAGAACTTTTCAAAGATAACAGAGGAGAAAAACAGGTGGTAGTAAAGAATAAAATAAATGGACCACCAATACTGAAGTGAAAGTAGAAACACAAGCTGCCATTAGGAAAATGAAACAAGGAAAAGCCACAGGGCCAGATAATATTCCAGTTGAAGTGATTGTCGAGTTTGAAGAACTAAGCACTGAAATAACAACAAAGCTCCTAAATGCTATTTATGACAGCGATGAGATCCCAGCAGATATGATGAAGTCAGTTTTTATAACTTTACCTAAAACACCAGGTGCCACTGAGTGTGATATGCATAGAACAATTAGCCTCATGAGTCATTTTACAAAAAATTTGCTGCAAGTACTAATGGGAAGATTGAGAAAAATTGTAAGACCAGAGATATCTAAAATGTAATTCGGCTTCGTTCCTGACAAGGGCACCACAAATGCTATATTCACCTTAACAATGTGAATGAAAAGATGTATTGAAGCACAGAAAGATCGTATTTGTGTTTCATAGATTATTCAAAGGCGTTCGATAAAGCTAGACATGATGAGCTATTTAAAATACTGGAAAAGCTGCACATAGGTGGAAAAGATCTAAGAATTATCAGGAATTTGTACTGGGACCAAAAACGCTGCCTTACGAATTAATTGAGAATACAGTGAATATAAGCTGATTAGGAGAGGAGTGAGGCAATGATGTGTTATGTTACTACCAGACCTCTTTAACATGTACAGCGAAACAATCCTTAGAAATATAGAAGAATGTCCATGTCTCAAAGTGTAAATGGAGAAAATATTAATAATATCAGATATGCCGATGACACAGTTTCAATAGCAGACTCAGAAAAGGACCTTCAGTTGCTATTAGACACTGTTTTAACAGAAAGTGAACGTAAAGGATTATTGTTGAATGTAATGAAAACAAAATGCATGATAAAATCCGAAAAAGCTGCAAATTCTACTTTTAATTACATTAGCAAAGATGAAAAAATCAAACAAGTCCAACAGTTTAAATATCTAGGGTATATGATAACCTCTGGTGCCTAATATTCCACAGAAATAAAACGGAGAATTACAATGGCTAAGGCTAGTTTTTTTTTTAATGAGCCCAATCCTGAAAAAGAACACTTCTCAATGTCTACGAAAATGAAAGTTCTGAAATGCTATATATGGTCAACCCTTCTATATGGCTTTGAATGCTAGGCAATCACTAAAGACAATGAAAATAAAATAGAAGCCACAGAAATGTGGTTTCTTAGGAGAATGCTAAGAGTATCTTGGAAGAAAAAGAAATCAAATGAGATAGTACTTGAAGAAGCCCACGTGGGACGCTCACTGTTAAAAACAATCAGGAAACGACAAACGCAGTTTTGGGACACCTGAATAGACATAAGGGTCTTGAACATCTAGCTCTCACTGGCAATAATGAATGCAAACGAGGCAGGGGTAAGCCCAGAGCAACCTACTTAGGGGACCTAAACAAATGGGTAACATGGAAAGATCAGGGAAACGTAGCCTTTTTAAGACCATCCGAGCGAAGGAAAGAATGGACAACCATGATCGCCGATGTCTGTCGCAGATCAGACACTGGATGATGATGATGACCTTATCGTGTTAGAGGAGTTGTAAAACTCTACCTAAACCTAAAGACCATCAGTGACGTACAGCGTACGTCTGTTTCAAGCTCCGAAACCACTTTTTAGTTTAGATTTAGTTCGAGTTTTACAGCACTTGCAACACATATAGGCCACATAAATGCCATATATATTTGAGGTGTTACTTTGAGGGTAACATATAAAAAAGGAAGAAGGAGGAGAAATAATATGGATGATAGCTATTTGATAGGTCAAAAGACGCAATCCATACTAGAGAAACCATCAATCACCCACGAAATCATTTGAAGGCTGTATGTACTACAAAACTAATTAGATTATAAAAAGATGCAGAACTCTTGATAAATAGTGAGCTACAGGGCGGGGGGAATGTAATAGAGGGTGTTTTTTTTGGGGTTGTTTTTGCTTAAGTGGGAGGGGGGGGGGACTACACCCCAAAAGTCAAAATTCGGCTCAAAATTATAGAATTTGAGTTGTAGGCATTTTTAGCTTCCCCAGCCTCTCCTACAACTATTTCATCGCATAAAAACCCACCAAAACCGAATTTTTTCCTATACCGGGCATGTTTGTGACCGCCATTTCCTCATAAAGTCAGTATTTTCTTTTTCTTTATCAGTGTTTTCCCAAAACGCGACTTTTCTCTATACTTTTTCAAATAACTCCACCATTTGTCATCCAATCTTCATAAAATTTTCATAGAATAAAGAGAAGAGGTAATACTAAATATTTGTCGGTTGAATTTTTGATATATTGAATACATTTTTGTTGGTGGTGTCTGGAGTGTGGATTTTCACGGGTTTTTTTTCAAACTTGAATGCTACTTCAGGAAAAAATTCATAAAACATTTTCTAATTCGTTTAGGAAAAAAACAGCAAACAAATTTTTAGATCTAATGTTTGTGAACACGCATGCAAAAAAACCCCCAATCAATTACCATGAGCGATAAGTGCGGTATTCATTACGTAAGACATGTCAACAAAATATAATATAGCCACCATATCCATGGAAACGAATTTTTTTCTCTATTTGATTGCGGATTTCAAGACTCCTTACTATGCTTGATATATGTGTGAAATTTGGTAAAATTCGGTCCTGTAATAAGCGAGATAGCCTTCAGGTGTAGCCCCCCCCCCCCCCCCCCCCTTACACATGCACACATCTTTAGATTCATACTGTTGCATTATATTCACATTGTTTCTACCGGTGTCTGTGGTTTAGCGGTTCGGTGCCTCGTGGAAGACGTGAGTTAGATTTCCAACTGATAGGTTTTTTTTTTTTATCGAGTTTGTTTGCTAGAGCTTTGTATATCTCTTGGCCCGTGTTGACCATTATACGTTATATGCATTGAAATCTATGTCAAAAAACTTTTATTGCCGCTTTACTATTGACTGTATCGGCATAAGGGATAACTTTCCACCACAATGAATTTCTTTTGGTAAAACCCATGTCACAAAAATACAAAGTTTGTCTTTTTCGTGACCTATCAAGTAGTTAATTACAATGTACCGGTTACTAGGTTTTCACTAAGCCAAGGTGACTTTCTTCAGAATTGTTCTACGGCATGCAAGTTGGCCCTGATAGGCAGGGTCTAAGCCCGCCTCCTAATGATCTAAATTGTATAGATATGGCGTAAAAACAACTATTAAGAAACGGACATGCATGTATAGCCTCCATGTCTGCGTCGGAACTCAAAGCTGAAAGGAAAAACGGGCAAATCAACAGAACACCACGTGGAATATCGTTACCTTTGAGAGTCTCAATTTCCATCGAGATGTTCATTGGTTCACGAAAGTCATTCTCCATGGACATTTGCACATAAAGGTCCGTGCCAGGGGCTACCTGCAGTGTCTCATCGCTTTTTTCATCAGTAGGGCTACTGAAACGTCGCAGTTCATTCCCTCTAAACCCTGAGAAAAAACCCCCAAAACAACAGAAATCACATTGGTATGACTTATTAATTGTAGTTCAGCCCCGTGGCATGAATTGGGAAACAGAAAATTCTAGTATGGAAGCAACATAGTTAGATTTGAAACCTACTGCACCATAGAGACCAGCGTAGAAAAACAACCTGATTATATCTTGAAATATTTAACTCTTATTAATCAGAAGCAACAATAAAAATATTTTTAAAAGATAATTTACCCCCCCCCCCTTCCCATGAGTGTGTGTGTGTGTGTGTGTGTGTGTGTGTGTAGTGAGGGATAGCGAAGATGTAGGTATACAATGGAGAGTGTGTGCATGTCTTTGTATGGGGTGTGGAGGTGATGGAGATAAAGGGAAGGAGGTGGGGAGAAGGGGTCGATGTGAATAACAGCCGGTCCATGCTACAAACCCCGAGTGGTCTTGGAATCTAGACAGAGATGTTCTTTGAAGGAAAAATGTGTTGAGCTTTAGGTAAGCACGTTGTGAACATTTTACGTTCCGAAGTAGCCCGAGGTCATTAAAACATTAAAATACCTAGATAGGCATAATGACTGATTACGATATGTATTGTTCTTTAAAATTGAAACCGTCACCGCTCTCACAGCAGTCGCTAGGTTCTGATGTTGAAACAGAGACACTGATGGTTGTGCACTATAGCCTTACTATCGGTGCTGTTTAAAAGCCACCACAATTTTGTTGACTTAGTTGTTTTAACTTCTTGGGAATGTTTCTGCGATTGGACAACGTTTAATTAAAGACACACTGTTTCGCGATTCTTTAAGTAAAAAAACCCAACAACTTAGACTTCCCAATAAATTTTTCTATTTATTTTTACTTTATCTGAAACTAAAAATGAGATAGAGATTACTAGAACACATCAAGTTGCTTTTTTTATATATCATATACATCGTTGTGAAATCAAACGCTCGTCAAAATAATGAAATCGAAAAAAATCGGCCTTTTCTTTCTTGTTTGGCTATTTTATTTATTTTTGGGGTGGGGGGCGGGGGCTCATGGTCTTTAATGTTCTGTTAAAACCACATTTCCGTGCGAATAAAAACAAAAAAAACAACAACAAAAAACAGCAACAAAACTTTGTTCAAAGGCACATAAAAGTAAATGTGTAGTTTTCAAGAGGACTTACGCTCTGGGAGTCAACACACATTGGCGGCCATTTTTTAAAAGCTAATTTTGCCTCTCTATCACCAAATGACTAAGTTGGTTAGAAAAGCGCTGCAAAATTTATTTTGGCCAGAAGCTGATCGGACATACAACAGTATGGAACTCACAAAGTAGAATACTCAAGAATTCAGTACTCACAAGTACTTTACTCGTTTGCTATCAAGAACTGTGACTATCTTGAGTGCACTTCTGTTGCTAGGCTTTAGACACTATCTACATTCAAGGAAAAATAGATAAATGTAAAAAAGGGCAAAAACGAATTTTGTATTTATTCCAGGGGATAATAATGATGAACGGTAATGCACCCCGAGGACAGTCAGGAAAACTATAGAAGGAAGAAATGATGTACGCTATTGTATTTGCACGGACAATAACATACATGCAACACGTATACACCAAACGCTCTTGTTTGTAACTGAGTCTTACCTTTAGAAATGATCACTTTTAATTTATGAGCACCGAGCGCTTTTGGAATCTGGACAGAGAGGTTCTTTACAACCGTTTTGTTCTCCTCGAAACTGGACTTGAATAACCACCAGCATGTGTAAGAACTTCTGAAATTATCACATACAATTATATCAGAATGCATACAGCGCCTTTCCTGACTGCAAAGACATGTAGAATATTCATCCATAGAAGAGAGAAATAGCTTATATCCATGGTTCATCCACATTTGTCTCTTTCCCCCTGGTATTGGGTATAGGCCACCAAGAAGGTCTCGCCACATGTCTCTGATCTGGGCAATCTTCTCCACCTCCAGCCAGCTGTGTCCCACATGCCTGAGATTTGCTTACAGATCTCGCCGCCAGGTAGATCTCGGCTTTTCCCTCTTTCTCCTCCTCTATGGTTTCCATCTTAAAATGTCTATGGCGGGTTCATGTAAGATCCAATAAGATGTCTCCAAATGTTACAAACACACCTTCAAATCAATCCAGTAACCTCTCACTGTTGACCCCATAAAGATCAGAACGATTAAGCTGTCTAAACACTTCACCATCTACAACTATGCCAGCCTATAATTAAGAACTTTCACACTGGTTTGTATTAGGAGCAAGAACACATGCCACCTAATTTCAAGTTTGTATTCCCTTATTTGAATTTGTCAAAAAACAAAAACAATAAAAACAATAAAAATCAAAACTAAAGAAAAAACAACAACAAAACAACCCAACCAAACAAAAACAAATAGTAACCTTGCAAATTTACATAACATTTTGTTCTAAAATTATAGCGCACTTCTTCTACAAAAGAAACAGCACTACGTTTTGGTTACTTGTATCACCACACACGCGTGGCACCGGTAGCCTGGTGGTTAGGTTACCGGATTCGTAATCATGAGATTGCGGTTCGGGGGTTCGAGCCTCAGCTGTGTCCGACGTTGTGCCCCTGGGAAATGCACTTTACAAGAATTATTTCCCACTTGGCTCGGTTCTTTTGAAGGTGGAATTTAACTGGGAGTCACCGACTGTTAAATAATCTTACAGTGTTGATAGAGGTGTTAAACCTATACAATTTCACCATTTTGTTTAGCTCTACACAGCACCAACTGCTCTATATATTACGAGTATAAAGAATAAGAAAAAAGGCGGCAGGCTGAAATGTGTGTTTAGTGTACACGAGTTTTGAGTTTGGAGCAACATCCAGAGTATACCTTCGGTACAATCAGTGGAACGCTCTGAAATCAGCAGATGGAATTGACAAATTGTAATATCAGTCGAATTTCCCTAGCTTGTAGCAACAGTGTGACGGTATAACCCCCCTGTGTGGTCTGTTACTTATTATTATAGTAGAGGGTTTTACGGCGCTCGCAACTGCATAAAGTCAAATAAGCGCCATGAGTGGTCTGTAAAGGTAAATGAATCGAAATCGATAGTCAAAATTATAATTGAAAAGTTTTGGGAGCCTTCAAATGCTGGTGTTGAGACCAGCGGAATAATCAAGTGCTCCGGGAAACACTATCAACACTCACGGGAAAACATATCATTGAGGACGAGTCTTTCGTTTATGAGTTCATATGAATTTCTGCCTTTCTGTCTATGTACTTCTGCTGCACATGTGGCCTTGTTGTAAAGTTCAAGGACTAGAAACTGTAAGGTTATGGGTTCGAATCCCGTCATGGGGCATGACATTGTGACCTTGGCAAAGGCACTTTACATAGGAATTTTCCTCATTTTACCGAGGTGGGAATGGGTCCCTGTCTATAGCAACTTCGCTCTTTATTTGCCGGGGAGCATAACTGTTTCTGAGTGATCTATGATCTGCTTGGTAATTAATAATAAAGTGTAAAGTGCATAGAGCTTGTAGTCTAGCGGGGATACGCGCTATGCAAATGTTATTAATTATCATCATTACTTTATTATTTTCAGTTACGTCACTATCAAATGACTGTAGCTTTTTTCTGACAAAAAGTGTATACAAGAATAAACTGGATAAAGCTATAAAACATATCAAAAGAGTCAAAGACAATAATTTTTAAAAATTGTGACAAGTATCATTTTTCGTAGAACTCTTCTTTACCGTTTTGTTGCATCGTGGTTAAATCAGGCACCTCAAAATAATGAAATCAAAGAAACTAGCATGTTATCGTCAGTTTGACAATTTTTCTCCTCTATTTTTTGGCACATCCCTTTTTATGTCCATTTAAGAACACATTTATGTGAAGATTTTTCAGAAAAATGTTGATAGAAGGCGCACAAAATTGTTACGTTTCAGCGACACTCAAACTTTGGACGTCACCGAACTTTGCGACCATGTTCTTGCTAACCCAACTCCCTCAATTGCAAATACCTCGACCTCTACGAGAGTTGTTCAATAAGTCTTTGGTCTGGGTATGAAGGCATCATGGTAGAGTAATGAAATGTCGCCAGCCTATAGACAATTGCTTTGGAACACACCATGCAAATTTTCGGAAAAATCCGACAATAATAAGGCACTAGTCAGCGTGTTTAATGAAATAATGCACAAAAGCGTTTGGTTTTTCTTTGCTGAAGCTGTGCCATTGAGCCCGTTGAATATCGGTCAGTTATCAAGTTTTTACACTTGCAAAGAAAATCTACTCCGGACATTTTTTCCATAAATTGTCCGAGTTTATGGAGACAAATGTCCCCGTTATAATATTGAGACATACTGGGTAAGAAGATTCAAATCTGGATTCATGTCGGTGATGGTTGAAGATCATGAAGGGCGACCATCCTTTGTGGTAACGGAAGAGAATGTATCCATAGTGAAGAAGACAGACGTATAGCTGTTAAATAGCTCTCCAGTGAAACATAAATCAGTGAAGGGTCAATTAAAACGATTCTCCATGACCATCTTAACATGAAAAAGGTGTCTGCGCGTTGGGTACCCAGCCTTTTGACAAGTGAGCAAAAGAAGCAGAGGGTTTAGTCCTGCCAAACTCACATTGGAATTGAGTCCAATGACACAAATTCCTTTAAAACATGGTGATTATGGATGAAACATGGATTTATCATTTTGATCCAGAACAAAAAATGTCCACCATGCAAAGGAAAACCCCTTCTTCTTCCTCACCAAAGAAGGCAAAGGTAACACCGTCAAGTGGAAAGGTCATGCTGTCGTGTTTCTGGGATTGTGAAGCTATCATCACGACTGATTACATGAGAAATGGAAAAACGGTCACAGGGGGACTACTATTCGGGTTTGCAGATAAAACTGCGGTCCGAATTGGTGAGAAAAAGGAGTGGAAAACTCCGTACTAGGGTCCTCCTACTGCACGACAACACCTGTGCGTACAAGGCACACAGTCCAGGCAGCAGAACAGTGCGGCTTTGACATCCTGCCACATCCAACTTATTCAACATACCTAGCCCCTGCAGACTTTTTTTGTTTCCTAATCATTATAAATCACTGAAAGGACGTCGTTTCCATAACAACGAGGACGCCATTGAACCTGGGTCATTTTTTTTCTCAAGGACTTTTGAAGGTCAAAGAGAGGTAGCAGAAATGTGTTACTGTGCATGGTGACTATGTAGAGAAATGGAAGTGTGTGTGCCAAGTTACAAAGCTCTATCTTTATTCCTTCATTTTCAGACCAACGACTTTTTGAACCCCCTCGTATTTGATATTGAAAAGTATGTTATTCACCAAAAGCAAGACAAGATTTACTCCATATGCCCAAAGATTAACGATTGTCTGATTCCTCTCCATCGCGACACGTTTAGCGTGAACTTCAGAGGCCACTCACCCGGTATAATGCTGAGGTAAAAATTGATGTTCCAGTAGGTGTCGTGTGTTGTTCTCTGATAGGGTCACTGTCTGGTTGCAACCCTCGATACTAGTTCTCTCTTAAGAAGAAAAACAAGTGGCACAGAAAATGTTTCGTAAAAAAAAATGCGTGCAACAACCGAGTTAAAGAGTGGGGGGGGGGGGGGATAAAAAAAGACATAGACCACATCGGCCTCAGGTGCAATGGGGAAGAAGGGTAAATGATTAAAAGCTTTCAACCATGTTTGTTTTACAGAAACCTCAATATACGGTCGTGAAGAAATATCAAGAAACATGCTCATTCGCAAAGCAAACATACTGACGCCTACTCTCTCTCTCTCTGTCTCTCTCTCTCTCTCTTTGTCTCTCTCTCTCTCTCTCTTTCTCTCTCTCTCTCTCTCTCTCTCTCTCTCTCTCTCTCTCTCACACACACACACACACACACACACACACACACACACACACACGTACCCACACAATGCTCGTCTATAGCTGTCGAAGATGACCTTAACGTTATATCCCTGGTGGGGGTTGCGGAAAAGGCTGATCAGGTCGATCTTCTCTCGGAAGTGTCTGTTGTGGTGGCGGCAGATGATGTTTGAGGCTGAACAAGCCTGGAAGGTAGGGCTCTGTTGGTCTTTTCTCAGCTGCTGTATCCATTCTTTGTTTCTGACGCGCCTTTCGTCGAACATGGCGACTCCAGATCTTACAAAGGAGCGCAAAACTGTGCGACCGCGAGCAGCTTCTTCCCAGGTGGTATGAGTTATGTCAAATCTATTTAGGGATGCTTTCAGAGCATCTGTAAAGCGATTATTCTGTCCGCAGAGAGAACGTTTGCCTAAAGTCAACCTAGCCTAGAGTAAACTCTTTGGGAGGCGAGAGCCGTCCATGCGGTGAACGCAGCCGTCCATCGGAGCTGAGAGCGCAGTAGGACAGCATAAACGTAAGGCAGCGTTGAGAAATGTCGTCAAAGTAATGAGTCTCGAAACTGGCGTCGTCCCCGGGTTTAGGAACTTGTCATTGAATTTTTGTTTTTTGGCTCAACACCTTTCATGCCCTTTAAAAGAACATATTTCTGTGTGGATTTTACTGAAAAAGCGTTGATTAAAGGCATACAATATGTACATTTCCAGTTTTCCCAGACTCTCGAGCTAACAAATAACTCAACTTTGGCGACCATTTTTCAGTTATTTTACTTCTAAAACCAGATTACCCCCCCCCCCCCTCCTTCAATTTCAAATATCTCTTCTATCCAAGATAAATTTCCCGCAAAGTAAGACAACTGGACAAGCTTAAAGATGACACCAATAAGTCCATTAGCTCAAAAATTGACGAGCACCTGATTCCACTGTGTTAGGACAAAAAATGCTCTCCATCCTTGCCCGCTGTTGTACCTCAGTGCCAGAGACTCTTTCTTGCCATTTGGTACGGAGCAGGATCCTGAGGCATCTCCTGTGGTAATCATTGAGCGGCTTGGCGTGCCGGCTGTCATCTGCCCACGTTTCTCAGTCGTAGAGCAGGATGGTAGAACTACATCTTTACACAATTTGAGCTAGGTGTTAAGGATCAGTCCTCTTCATTCGAAGACCTTGTCTTTCAGTCTTCTGAAGGTTGACATAGCTCTGGCAGTTTTGTAGGCCACTTCCTCATCGATATTGACCGAGCGAGAGAAGGTAAACAAACGTATCTGCACCTGCCAGTCTCCGATCGTAGATGGTAAATGGGGGCTCTAACGTACACACTCACACACACACACACACACACACACACACACACACACACACACACACACACACACACACACATACACACACTCTCTCTTTCTTTCTCCGTCTCTGTCTGCCTGTCTGCCCCTCTCTCTCTCTCTCTCTCTCTCTCTCTCTCTCTCTCTCTCTCTGACTTCTTCTCTCTCTCTCTCTGACTTCTTCTCTTTCTCTCTCTCCCTCTTGTTATCTCTCTTCCTCTCTCCCCCTCTCCCCACTCTCTCTCTCTCTCTCTCTCTGTTAATTTAATCTTTTATTGTAAAAAAAAAAACAACTTTTAATGAAATAGCCAAGGCGGGAGACAGAATGTATGAACGCTTTATGTGGGAACATGTTTACAATCAATAATTTATCAGGCTTTTTCTGAAGTGCTCATTTAATTAGATGTGCAACACTAACAAAAAGTATTGAAACCTCACAGTTTTAATAACTCTACAGATTTAAGTGGTGAGACCTGATATGTTCATTCTTAACCCGTTAGTCTCAATTTCATCTCAATTGTTGTATGGTCAAAAAATGCACTCCAATTACAAAAACCTGTGGCCTCTGTCTGTTCAGAACCAGACAAGAAGTCCAGCCGCTCTCTTTTCTTGCATGAGAACAGCTCCACTCAAAACCATGTGTTGACTTAGCTTTTTGAGTAGGGTGGGCGGGCGCCCTGGTGTAGTTTGTTCCTCCTTTCCTGCTATCAAAAAATCTATCATCTTTATCTGCGCTCTTCATTTTCTTGGTGTGTTACTCTCTATCTGGATGCAAAAGCTGGACTCTAAACAAGGACAGGGAGAGAAGTCGTAGGCCACGAAATTGTAGTCTTTAAGAATACTCAGAATCTCAAGGACAGAGAGGAAAACAAATTGAGAGAAGTGTCCCAAATGGCAGGTTGTGAAGGACCTATAATCAAAACTATCAGAAAAAGACAACTGAGATTATTTGGCCAGTAAATAAATCAAATGGAGGAGAGAAACTGTTGTTGTGTTGGAAGGTGCAGGGAGAAGAAGAGCAGAGGAAGACAAAGTTTTTTTAAGAACAACAGGTACAGATGGCCTTAGCAACTTTGCAGCGAATAACTCAAAGAGATAAAAAGTAAACTGATCAAGAAATTAGACAACAGGAAGGAATGGAGTGCCATGATCGCCAATGTCTGCTCCACACCATACACATGAAGAAGACAAAGACGATGTAGCAACACTTCTACTCTTCTGCACTTGTATAAACTCTTTCTAAAGCTGAGATCAAAAGAAGAAGACTCTTTTTTTGGTGTATTTTATTTTTTGGTTTAAAAAAAAAGAGTTCAGTACAGTTACCTTCCGTGTAATAGGTGAGACTGAAGCCAGGTCCAACGCGTTGAATGTCTGACACAAACCTCACTCTGAGGTAGCCGTCTGTGAACATTTGGTAACGCTTTAGATATTGACAGAACACCTTGATCGTTTCCCCATTCGAGCCAGAATCTGTGATTAGAGGGGAAAAGAAAAACGCTGAAAATATATGAAACAAAACAACGTTCTTCTTTCCATTTACTAAAACACTGTTTAGTGTAGATGTTTTAATCGCCCATCAATACAGTTTAGATTATTTAAGAGGCTGGCTGCCTGGTAGGGCAAACCAGGGCTAAGAGGGAAGCAACATCTCATGATAAAGAGCAAGATACTCGATAAAAATCACCCCACTCGGGAACCGAACTCGGGTCTCTTGCGTGTGACAACGAAGTGCTGCATCGCTACACTGGAGACGCAGGTTTGCTTACACAAGACTGGAGACTTATTTTTACCACATGAAAAGTGAAGGAAGGTAGTGTCTACGTTCTATAACGTTAGAGGCCGTATACAAGCTGTCTACGTTCTCTAATGCTCAGTGCTTCCAAGCGTGGCATCGAATCCTGGTCCCGGAAACTTTGTTGTTTTTTTGAAATTTTTATTCCCTCTCCTTCTCCTTACTGACCAACAATTTGCCTCCAGACCCCCAACCAGGACGAATAATAATTGGCAGGGGTCTGTGGGACGCAGGACGCCCCCCCCCCCAAAAAAAAAGTTGCAATTGAAGAGCTAAGATTTGGCCTCTCTGATTCTAAAATAAATTTAAAAATTCAGACTCCCCGAGGGTACTTTAACCAGGCCTAAATTGGTAAAAGGAAAAGTAAGCCTATACTTAGTAGATAACAGCTCGTCTTGGGGACAAAACCAGAATGTGCATGCTTCATCACTACATAAGAAATTACAAAGCATCAAATTATAATTATGGGGGTGAATGTTGGTCAGCCAGGAGGAGGAGAAGATGAAAAAAAAACCCAAAAAAACCCTTCCCGGACTGGGATTCGAACCCACACTCATAATGAAATTGTACCACTTCAAGCGCAGACACGCTGACCATTCGGCTATCAGAACTTCCAACAACCACGGGTAGATACAGCACTGTTTCTGGAAGGGCAACAACATAGATCAAGATGCAGACATCTATTATTTTACAACAAAGAAAGTGAGAAAGTCTGAAACATGGGGATGAAGGGTAATATCCATAGTCGGCGGGCATCGGATCCGCAGATGAGGTCTGGAGGAAACTAAAAAATATGGAGAAAAATTAGAAGCACTAAACGTTACAGAACGTAGACAGCTTGTGTACATTCTCTAACGTTAGAGAACATAAACACTTCGGTGGACGAAGGAATTTTTAAAGTCCATAAAAAGGACACAGGAGGTCACGAAAGTGGGTGTTCTTTCGTTGAGCAAGAAAGTGAGGCAGGGAAGTAGAAGAAGAAGAAGAAGAAGAAGAAGAAGAAGAAGAAGAAGAAGAAGAAGAAG